CACGGCTGGTCCATTTGAACCTCACAGTAAGTCCACTCCTTACTCTTTTCGTTTTAATGGGAAGTAAGAAGGTTGATAAAGAGGGAGATACAAGATAAGAGAGCAAAAGGGTTGTGTTTCAAGTGTGATGGTAGATGGGGGTTTAATCATGTGTGTCGGGCGAAGGAACTTAGTGTTTTGCTTGTAAAAGAGGATAGATGGGGACAAAGTGGAGGAAGAAGAGTTCACGGCCTTGGATTAACCATTGGTTGAGGAGGAGAAGGTACCGGTTGAGATTACAATTAACTCGTTGGTCGGCATCACTAATCCTAAGACTATGAAATCAAGGGTATGATTGATGGTGAAGAGGTGGTGGTGATGATCGATCCGGGCGCAACACATAATTTCATTTCATGAGCGGTACTTTTGGAGTCTCATTGGGAAATGGGGAGGCGCTGAAGGGACACGGGTAATGCGCCGGGTGCGGCTTGAGTTAGAGGGTGGAGTGATTGTGATGGAGGATTTCCTCCCTCTTCAATTGGGAAGCTTCGACAACATACTTGGGGTTTAATGGCTTGAGAAGCTCGGCGCCGTAATCACAAATTGGAAGACATAAGAAATGAGCTTCACGGTGAAAGGGCAAACCGCCCACATTAAGGTTGATCCCTCCTTGTCTCGAACCGGCATTACCTTAAAGGCAATGATCAAGACATTGCGCAAAGAGAGAGGTGGTATTTTAGTGGAGTTAAACCAAATAGATGAGGTTGTAAGGGAGGAGAGTGAGGAAGCTCCGGAGTTTCTAAGGGCAGCAATTGATGATTTTTCGGAGGTATTTAAGTGTCCTAAGGGACTACCACCAAGCCGAGGCCGAGAGCATGCTATTGTTCTCAAAGAGGGTAGCAACCTGGTGAATATTAGGCCATATAGATATCCTTAATTTCAAATGGATGAGATAGAGAAGCTTATTGGTGAAGTGATGGCCGCCGAAAACTAGTCCTTTCTCTAGTCCAGTGCTCCTAGTCTTGGCACTAAAGGAAAATGGCGAAGAACCATACGAGGTACTTTAGGCATTCTTTGTGAAGCCCCTTGAGATTACGAGAAGGTAACACTATCATCTAATTCACCGCTACCTTCCTTCCATCTTGACTCCTCACAAATAGGGCATGAATCAGCATTTTCATACTCTTTTCTATAAAGTATGCAATGATTGACACAAGCATGAATCTTCGCATAATTCAACCCAAGGTCTTTGTCTTTTGTGTACTTCTTGGCTTCATAAGAGCTCTTTGGAAAGTTTGGGTCATAATTAAAGGCCTTTTGTAATGCACTAAGGAGCCCACTAAATGATTTTTCACTCCAACCCCCACTAACCTTAAGGTGTAAGAGAGTTACAATGAATTCAAGCCTTCAAAATGTTTGACAACCTAAAAATAGCTCCTCTTCTGCATCATTCATCAATCTATGAAATTTATCGAGAATCTTAGAACAATCTCCATCCCCTTCATCCCCATCATTCAAATGCTCCTCCGGCACTACATTTGTCGCATCATGTACCAAAGAAGCCATCTCTTCTGATAGAAGAGGATCTTCATCATATAACTCATCACCCCATTTCTCCTATGTCAAGGGATTGTTCCTCTCCATAGAATATTCATGGATTGTAATCACTCGAAGGAGATGAACACGTATTGTCGCTCGGTCATGATCAAAGTAATTTTGACAATTCAAACAAGGACACCTCTTTTTATCCCAAGCACTAGGGTTAGTGTCCTTGAAAGCAAAATCAAGAAAGTATTTAACACCATTTCGATAAGCCTACCTTTCAACCCTTGAACATGCATCCAACTCTTATCATTATCCACTCTATATCACATAAAACAATATATAAGTTGACACAAGGGAAGGGTGGAATAAAATATATAACTGTTGTCTAAGATATAGTTATGCAAAGAATGACACAAATAAAGTAAAAACATGTGGTTCACATTCATATATAAGATCTGAGTTAGCATTAATATAAAATGAAAATACATTCACATTCATACATAGTATGTGCTGCTGCTGCAGTAGAAGACAATATTAAAAGAACAAATATACCATTAAGCACTTGTTTAAATATTTTAGTTTATTAGTAACAAATAGTCTACCGAGGGAAGATATCACACGCATCATGACATCAATTGATCCATGTAAGATCCCTCAATCTAGTAAATTTTGTGGCACTATCCAATTCTTCATATTAAAACTTAGATGTATCATAGATCAACAAAGTGTATTTAAGACGGATTAAGTTTGGCTTGCTTAGAACGTTTCAAAAAATCTGGATGCTTACGCTTATTTATGAATTCAGCTCGCACATTAACCACATTAACTTCCTACATTAACCACATTAACTTCCTGATGGATAGGCAGTTTGAAAACTTGGTTCAATGTACCCCTAAGTCGGTCCCCAGCTTTTTTGTCAAAGTCTTTCCTAGCCTCAGCATCGAACTCAGGTCTTCAAGTATATGTACGCTACACATAACTAACATGTAAAGTTTAAAATTGTAACTCAAAATAGCATATTATACAAAAATAATCTGTGCCAGACCTTGGCCTTTTGTGTTAGCCTAGCTGGCCTTTTTTGCTGAATGTAATGAGCTGTGTTCATATAAAAAGGGGGATTTGGGATTGGCTTAGTTAGGTATTATGTGGTAATTGTATCCTTTACTGTTCTTTCTGATTTATTTTACAAAAAGCAGCCCAACTTCCCTTATTTTCTTTACTGTTATTTTTTATTTATCTTACAAAAAGCAACCCAACTTCCCACATTTACTTTACTGTTATTTCTGATTTATTTTGCTCTTGCTTTAGTTGTGAGAAATCGAGTAAAAGCAGTAGCAGTTCATTATAGAATAAAGGATAGTTCAGAGACCCTATAAGTAAAAAGTAATGTCTAATAACAGAGCATAAGGCCACGTAGACTGATCTCATAAAGGAAGAATGAACAGCAGCAGTAGCACATCACAGCCCACCAAGTCACAGCCTTAGAGACTGGTGGCCTGAAGTCACCCTTGTAGTAGGCGTTTTCGCTGGAATGAAATCCATCCCTTCTTCCTTAGTTTCTTATTTCTTTAAAGTTTGCATTTTTATTGCTTGTCTTGTTTTATGGTGAGTAATAGTCTAGTTTGTTACATGAACACATAAATAATGTCTAATACCAGCATACAACCAGACATTGCACAAATATAGTTCAGAGACCCTTTATATAACATCTCAGGTAAAAAAAAAAAAAAAAAAAAAAAAAAAAAAAAAAAAAAACAAATAACACAAAAACCTACAGGGGCTACAACTATATCAAGCATTCAGAAAATCACAAGAATGGCTTTGAACAAGCTCTAAAAAGCACCACACCACAAGAATAGCTTTGAAACACGAGGTTAAACTCAAAAACTCATCCTAAATAGAACTAAAGATAAGTGTCAGAAAAAAATGAACAAATTTTTCAATAAGATTGGCATAGAATTTGACACTGGTTATTTAGGCAATTAGTTAGAAGACAAAAGAAAGATGAGCAAGAAAAGGTGCAGCAGCTACCAACCCCAGCAAGACACAGCAACCGCAACACACACCTTAGTGGAGCAAGGGAAGCGGACACCAGTTGGACACTAAAAGACAAGCCCGGGGAATCACCTTTGGGAATTGTAATATATAATCAAAGAGAGGAGAGAGAGTAGGCAGGAAATGATTTGAGTTTTGATTAAAGAGTAGTGAGCTAAACTCACCCTAGCGCTTAATGGTAAATTTGGAAAAAGAAAACAAGGAACTTGCTAACATAGTAAGGGGCGGAGGGAGGGGGTAAGGCTGAAGAAAGATTGTCATCCTAACAAAGGGTAGTGACTAGAGAATATTTTATAATAGTTGCTTTACTGAAAAATTATGTTAAGAAAATGCTCCTATCATTTCTCTATATTAATTAACGTGTAAGCTAACTAATGCAAATAAGGTTCTTTAAAAATCAAAGAAAAAGGTTTAAAGATAAGTGTATGATATCCACGGTTTGCATATGCTTATAGTGAAACAAGTAGAACAAAACTATCCTAGATTGCTACCAGTGGCGGATCCAGAATTTGATTTATAGGTTGTCCCATCATTGTCCATCGACCGCATATAATATCAAAAACTAGTCAAAGCTTGTATAATGAACAAAAAAAATACATAAAAAAGTTCATTTCATAAAGTAATGCAAATTCATATTACAACTAAAAAAGTACTAATTTTATTACAATTGCTCTCGATGAGTTTTCATGTTTTGATAACGATTTACAATATCATCCATGCTAACATTATAAAACAAATCTCTTTCTAGATAAGTAATCAAACAATCATTCAACATTTGATCTCCCATGATAACCAACAAGAAAACTACTTTGTAACATGATAAAGATGTAAAAGCTTGTTATTTCAACACAATTCCTTTAATTTTGAGCCGAAGGAAATACATAACATTTCTATTAATCCAACTATCACAGAAATATCATATAATCAAAAACAGAATTAATGAACATCAATTTGAAAAGAAATCCAAATTCAACAAAGTCGAAAATAATAGCAATTTCAGGTTCAATAAACATGTTGCAATTGCTTAAATATTAATTAGTTACGGCTTCAATTTTCCTCACTCAACATGCAAATTAATTAAACAATTCCCCACCCAGCCCGACAGCCACTCCCCAGCCAAGCCCCGACAGCCACCCCCTCCCCCTGCACCACCACCGAAACAGCCACCCCCTTCCCCTGCACCACCACCGAAACCACTCTCCTGCAACACATTACACATTAGCAACCAAAATTGACTCAATTATCAAACTAGACTCCAAAAATTACGTTAAATTCTTCGAGTATCTATAACCAATAGTTCAATTATCCAACTTCGAAGAACCCTAAATTGAGTATATACTAACAATTAAATACACGATTAAGACTAGATTGTCAAAATTAATACGTAGTATTAGATGATTAAAGAAAAAGAAGCATCTAACCTTAGAGACTGCTTCAATGGAGGAGAGAAAGCTCAGAAAGTCAGAAACCGCTTCAATGGAGAATTTCGAGTACGCTTGACAAACCAAACCCTGCAACACATTAGCAACCAAAATTGACTCAATTATCAAACTAGATTCCAAAAATTACGTTAAATTTCTTCGAGTATCTATAACCAATAGTTCAATTATCCAACTTCGAAGAACCCTAAATTGAGTATATACTGACAATTAAATACACGATTTAAACTAGATTGTCAAAATTAATATTAGATGATTAAAGAAAAAGAAGCATCTAACCTTTGAGACTGCTTCAATGGAGGAGAGAAAGATCAGAAGCCCCTTCACCGGAGAATTTCGAGTACGCTTCAATGGAGGAGAGAGAGAGGAAGGAGTACCGTGAAATAGATCTAAAGGGAAAAAAAGCAAACAACATCAGGAATGAATTTTTTTGTTTTTTTTTTTTACAGAAAAAATAGTGTCCTAGGACCCACAATGACTACATGTGGGTCTGCCACTGATTGCTATAACTCAATATGTTTTACCAAATCAAAGAACAAAATTTCAGACCAGAGGAAACTACATACATCAAAATATGCAGCTGCATATGAGATATATATAAGTGAAGTTGGTAAGATTGTGTAGCTTAGAATGAGATTATATTGCTTAGGTCCCTATAAGGTTCACTTTTTAAGAGTTTTATAAAATTATACCAGACAACAAAAGATAAGCCATAAATTCCAGGGGCTTCATATACAAGGATATATGTAAAAGTCAATTTTTGAGTTCTAAGGGTGGGTCAGAATGCAAGAATAAACTGCACCAATTGGATTCGAATTTTAAGGCGATTCTAGTTGCAGTAGTTAGAATAGGATATCTAGTGCTAAGGAAAAATATCAGAAAAATTGACTAAAAATATTTTTTAGGGTTTTAAGTCAATTTTTGTCAAGTGGTACAGCTGGAAAATCTGATAAGCATGTTCTGCTAGCAAGGGCTGTTTTCCTTGAAGTTTTATGCAATTTCTTAGCTTTGTTTTATACGTTTTTCTCGCATAGCTGTAGCCTATTTAAAGGCCTAAATTCATCAATAATATTCAGTTTTTCAGTCATCTAAAACCCCCACCCCAACAAATAAGCCTAAGACCTTGGATACATGTTTAATAGACACCTTAATTGAATTATATGAATAGATTTTGTACAGATATATTACAGTTGCTAACAATTCAATGTGAATCACTACAAAAGACTTCAAAACATCAAACCAAAAAGATTCTAACAGTATAAAATCAAATGATATTACCCATATAACATCAAAGTAATTAAAGCAGCGAAAATTAAAAGCCTAAAACTAATATAAAAAAAAATCTAAAACATATAGAAGCAGGGGATATATTATTAAGCACTCAAACCAAACAAGTAAAACGCACATGGCTAGCAGCTTTGCTAGCCATATAGCCCTAGTCCCTCGGATGGCTCGGCCATTCCGAGGCTAGGGCTATATGTTGTGACTTGTTGTTTGGTTGAATTTTCCGTCTCGTTGATTCCTAAATTCGACTCGACTTACGACGCTCGACATCGACGCTCTAAGCTCGGAATCCGACGTCTTTTTTCGTAAAAACTCTATTGACTCATTTAATCCTTCGGATTAATTCGTCGCTTCGGTTCGATTACACGATTGGGTGTGATCCGAAGGGTTTAGTCAAGATTAAGCTGTAATATTAATTATACATTAATATTACTGATCGGAAGCGGCCTCCAACTAGGCATTCCGATCAATTGACCTCACTGAATAATTAGTTTCCTAATTAATTCCGAACCCTCTATCGTAATAATACACTTGTTCGAAGGACACCATTCCTTTCAACTTGAACCCATAAAGGTAGTCAATTCATGCCAGTTGCAAACCCATTAGTAGAAAGATATTTGACATATACAATAACCTCAATAACTCAATATCACCATATAATAAAAATATAAAATCAATCTCTTAACATTTAAAACCAACTTCAAATTTAAAAAAGACAGCAAACAATAAGAGACAAAAGTATATTTTCACAAATTGCGTCATAATAATAATAATAATACAATTTAAGCAATAGAACGAAAACAATAACCAATTCACAGTCTTCCAACAATAAAGACAGATATATGCAGCAAATTCTTGAAATAATAGCAATATAATCACATCCAAAAAGAAAGTTAACTGAATTTGAAGTGAGCTAAAGGTCTATGTTTTCGATTTGATGAGAGGTGGGGTGTAGGGCATAGGTGCAAGCAAAAGGAACGTAGTGTATTGATGGAGGCCGAGGAACCCGAGGAGATGGTGGCTGGTGGTGTGGAGAGTGTAGAGGAGGAGGAGACCGTGGAGATATCCTTGTGTTTGGTGGTGGGTATTCAAACCCAAAAACCATGAAACAAAGGGGTCCATTTGTGGGAAGGAGGTGATTGTCATGGTGGATCCGTGGCAACACACAACTTTGTGTCTCTTCCGGTAGTAGATGAGTTCGGTTTGCCATCAGAGGAAAGAAGGGAATTTGGAGTGGCGTTGGGTGATAGTGAAACCGTAAGAGGCCATGGGATTTGCCGAGGTGTGAAGCTTTGTTTGAAGAGTGGTGTGACATTGGTGGAAGACTTTCTACCTGGGGCTTGGAAATGCCGACATTATTCTCAAGAAGCTTGGTGCGGTCACTACTAATTTAAGACTCACGTGATGAAATTCACCATTGCCGGCATACCGATGACATTAGTAGGCGACCCCTCCCTAGAGAAAACACAAATTTCCCTTAAAACCATGATTAAGGGGTTATGCAAGAACAAGGGTTGGGTTGTTAGTGGAGGTCTAACCACATTGAAGCGGAGGTGATGCCGCAAGGGGGCAGCAAGGTGCCGGATTTTTTGGAGGGAGTATTAGAGGAGTATGGGCTTCTAAGAATGTTGGGCTTCTAAGAAGGAACACATTAAAAAGATGGAATCAAGGAGTAGTAGAGTAGTAGAATGTTAGGCTTCTAAGAAGGAACACATTAAATAGATGGAGGTTACGGAAATGCGCATGTTAAGGTGGATGTGTGGGAACACTCTAAGAGATAGAATTAGAAATAAGGTTATTCGCAAGAAAGTAGGTGTGGCAGGCATTGCAGAAAAACTAAGGGAAAATCATTTGCGTTGGTTTGGGCATGTAAGACGGAGGGTGCACCGGTTAGAAGAGTAGGACCATAGAGGGGTTAAACGAGGGAGAGGGAGACCGAAAATAACATAGTTGGAAGGAGTTAGGAAAGATATGGATTTGCAAGAGGATGAAACATTGGATCGTAAGGGATGGAGGAAGATTCATGTCGATGACTACACGAAAAAATCAAATTTGGTTCATGTTAGCCGACCCACTTATGGGATTAAGGTTTTGATTGATTGATTGAGTGGAGGAGTATGGGGTGGTTTTCAAGATGCTCGGAGGGTTCCACCTAATAGGGGGCACGAGCATGCAATTACACTCAAGGGAGGTAGCAACCCCGTGAGTGTTCATCCCTATAGATATCCACAAGTCTAAAAGGATGAGATTGAAAGGCTCATCCAAGAGATGTTGAATGCGAGTATCATTCGGCCTTCGACTAGCCCATTTAGTAGCCCGGTGCTACTTGTGAAGGAGGACGGGTCTTTGCGGTTTTGTGTAGATTACCGGGCGCTTAACTAAGAGACGGTGCTCGACAAATATCCCATTCCGATCAGTGACGAGCTACTTGATGAGTTGCATGCCATTTACTCATAGTTGGACTTAAAGTCTAGCTACCATCAAATTCGAAGACATTCACAAAATGGTGTTTTGTACTCATGAGGGTCACTACGAGTTTTTAGTGATGCCTTTTGGGTTAACTAACGCCCCGGCCACTTTCCAATCCCTCATGAACGATGTGTTCAAGCCATACTTAAAGAAGTTTGTGTTGGTTTTCTTTGATGATATTTTGATCTATAGTAGTGATGATGAGGAGCATGTGAGATTAGTGTTAAGCAAGCTAGCCGAGCATAGTCAGTATGCCAATAAGAAAAAGTGTGAGTTCGGGTTTATGAAGGTAGCCTACCTTGGTCATATTTATTTCGAGAGAGGGAGTGGTCATGGACGGTGAAAAGGTGGAGGCCATATTAAGGTGGGAAACTCCTAAAAATCTAAGTGAACCTCGAGGCTTCCTTGGATTAACCAGGTATTGCCGAAAATTTATAGCTCGGTATGCCCAAATTGCGACACCCCTCACCACCGAATTAAGAAAGATAGCTATGGGTGGTCCACGGAGGCGACATTGGCGTTTGAAGACCTTAAAAGGGCCATGACTACGGCCCTGGTTTTGGCCATGCTCGACTTCTCTAATGGCTTCGTGGTGGAAACCGATGCATCCAACGTGGGGGTAGGGGCGGTTCGAGAAAGGAGGCCCATAGCCTACTTTAGCAACATACTAGGGGTTCGAGTGAGGGGAAAATCAATATATGAGAAGGAACTTATGGCCATGTGCTTAGCCATTGTGAGGTGGAAGCATTATCTCCTTTGAAGGCATTTTGAGGTGAGAACCAATCTACAAAGTTTGAGGTACATCACCCAACAACGAGAGGTTGGGAGTGAGTACCAAAAATGGATGAGGAAATTGGTGGGGTTCGATTTTTCCCGGGGGCATCCAACCGAGTAGCCGATGCTCTATCAAGGATGGATCAAGGAAAGGCACAACTTAGTACAATAGTTCACTCCCGAATTTGAGTGAACTAGAAACTGAGATCAAGGACGACAAGTGGCTATTAGGCCTGGATGAAGGCAAAGATAGGTTGGTGGTATTCCCTTTGAGGTCAGCGAGTTTTGTTTAAAGGAAGACTAGTGTTGCCAAGTCTAGTATATTCATTCCAGAATTACTCAAAGAATACATTAGTGGTCACGAGGGGGAGGTCAAAACGTATCTTTTGCACATCCTGTTAGGCGGGAGATACGTTTTGACCTCCCCTCGGTGCAAACTTGTCGGGATGTCATGCTGGAATGAATATAGAAGACTTGGGCAACACTAGTCATCCTTTGAAAAAAACTCGCTGACCCTCCAAAGGAAATCCCACCCGCCCATCTTTGCCTTCACCGATTTGGGCAGCCAGTTGTCTTGCTTGATCTCAGTTTCTAGTTCAATCCAATCCATAATCTAGGAGTGAACCATTGCACCAAGTTGTGCCTTTCCTTCATCCATCCTTGATAGAGCATCGGCAACTCAATTGGATGCCCCGGGACAATATTGCACCTCAAAATCGAACCCCACCAATATCCTCATCCATTTTTGGTATTCACTCCCACCCCTCTCGTTGATAGGTGTACCTCAAACTTTGTTGACCGGTTCTCACCACAAAATGCCTTCCAAGGAGATAATGCTTCCACCTCACAATGGCTAAGCACA